GGTTTTCGATGTGCGGCTAGAACTTTGCACGCGCTACATTTTGGTGCCAAAATTTTGAAAATCGGACAATATTTAGTGGCACTTTTTCAGTTCCCCGTCCTTTGACCTTGAATTTGACCTTGAAGTTTGACCTTGATGAAAATGGTTTTCGATGTGCGGCTAGAACTTTGCACGCGCTACATTTTGGTGCCAAAATTTTGAAAATCGGACAATATTTAGTGGCACTTTTTCAGTTCCCCGTCTTTTGACTTTGAATTTGACCTTGAAGTTTGACCTTGATGAAAATGGTTTTCAATGTGCGGCTAGAACTTTGCACGCGCTACATTTTGGTGCCAAAATTTTGAAGATCGGACAATATTTAGTGGCACTTTTTCAGTTCCCCGTCCTTTGACCTTGAATTTGACCTTGAAGTTTGACCTTGATGAAAATGGTTTTCGATGTGCGGCTAGAACTTTGCACGCGCTACATTTTGGTGCCAAAATTTTGAAAATCGGACAATATTTAGTGGCACTTTTTCAGTTCCCCGTCCTTTGACCTTGAATTTGACCTTGAAGTTTGACCTTGATGAAAATGGTTTTCGATGTGCGGCTAGAACTTTGCACGCGCTACATTTTTGTGCAAAAATTGGAAGATCGGACAATATTTAGTGGCACTTTTTCAGTTCCCCGTCCTTTGACCTTGAATTTGACCTTGAAGTTTGACCTTGATGAAAATGGTTTTCGATGTGCGGCTAGAACTTTGCACGCGCTACATTTTGGTGCAAAAATTTTGAAAATCGGACAATATTTAGTGGCACTTTTTCAGTTCCCCGTCCTTTGACCTTGAATTTGACCTTGAAGTTTGACCTTGATGAAAATGGTTTTCGATGTGCGGCTAGAACTTTGCACGCGCTACATTTTGGTGCCAAAATTTTGAAAATCGGACAATATTTAGTGGCACTTTTTCAGTTCCCCGTCTTTTGACCTTGAATTTGACCTTGAAGTTTGACCTTGATGAAAATGGTTTTCGATGTGCGGCTAGAACTTTGCACGCGCTACATTTTGGTGCCAAAATTTTGAAAATCGGACAATATTTAGTGGCACTTTTTCAGTTCCCCGTCCTTTGACCTTGAATTTGACCTTGAAGTTTGACCTTGATGAAAATGGTTTTCGATGTGCGGCTAGAACTTTGCACGTGCTACATTTTGGTGCCAAAATTTTGAAAATCGGACAATATTTAGTGACACTTTTTCAGTTCCCCGTCCTTTGACCTTGAATTTGACCTTGAAGGTCAAGGTTTAGGGGTGAATGGGTTCGATTTTCGTGATCCTCATGGTCCACTTGACCTTGGACGAGGTTTTGGCTAAAATCGGTGCTCGTCGCTGGAAAAGTCGCTGGTGACGTAGCATTTTTTAAGTTCCCCGTCCTTTGACCTTGAATTTGACCTTAAAGTTTGTCCTTGATGAAAATGGTTTTCGATGTGCGGCTAGAACTTTGCACGCGCTAAATTTTGGTGCCAAAATTTTGAAAATCGGACAATATTTAGTGGCACTTTTACAGTTCCCCGTCCTTTGACCTTGAATTTGACCTTGAAGTTTGACCTTGATGAAAATGGTTTTCGATGTGCGGCTAGAACTTTGCACGCGCTACATTTTGGTGCCAAAATTTTGAAGATCGGACAATATCTAGTGGCACTTTTTCAGTTCCCCGTCCTTTGACCTTGAATTTGACCTTGAAGTTTGACTTTGATGAAAATGGTTTTCGATGTGCGGCTAGAACTTTGCACGCGCTACATTTTGGTGCCAAAATTTTGAAGATCGGACAATATTTAGTGGCACTTTTTCAGTTCCCCGTCCTTTAACCTTGAATTTGACCTTGAAGGTCACGGTTTAGGGGTGAATGGGTTCGATTTTCGTGGTCCTCATGGTCCAATTGACCTTGGACGAGGTTTTGGCTAAAATCGGTGCTCGTCGCTGGAAAAGTCGCTGGCGACGTCGCCAACTTCACGGACATCGTTTTTGTCACGTCATAGGAATTCACTCCAATGGAGATGTCTATTGTCTATCGGCGGTGTTTTATTACACTCTCGTCCGTCGGCTGATAACGCGTGTGAGCGTTGATAACACTTGACTGTGCTCTTTGGTGTATGATTATTGATCATTTCATGGTCAATACGATGGTTGTTTGCGTGTAGCTTTTGATTATGCTCTGATACGGCACGTTCAATCCAGGATGTTCTGATATCTCATATCTTATGATATCTCATTCTCGAATATTTCGAAACAGCAAATCACATGCCACTGAGATTATTCGACGGTTATTTGAGTCGAAGCCGTTCTCTGCAGCTCGCTTCCTGACCCTCTCCGCTTCTGCATATTTACGTCTGGACAACGAGTTGCGTTGGAGAGGCCGGAAATAGTGGCGATTTCAGGACCGCAATAATGGGCCGTCATTGGAATGATTCTTTTTTTAAACGTGTACAGTTTTTAGCCAAAATTTAGTTCTTACTACAAAATATTTTGTAATTGGATTTTGGCCGAGAATGAATACCATCAGGGCTTATTTTTTACTGTCATTGTATTTTGTCCAGAAGCATATAGTACTGTTTTATTGCAGTTTTTGCGCGTTTGTTACAAAATATGAAGCGAACCTGCAAAAAAGTTCCAAGTAACGTTGATGTATATCGCAAAATATCATATTGACCTCAAGTTCATCCGTTCCTTCCATGATTGACTAGACAGTTTTACACATTTCAATTTTATCTTGGATCAATCAGAGGTGTCCTTGTGATCAGTGCCAACTGCCAGAGGTTAACTTGAAGGGAAGCTATGATAATTGCTCTTGTCCAAGTCCCTCCACTCACACTAAGAAGAAGTTATTAAATATTTTGGTTTGTGTATTCCAAGAGGAGAGAGAAGTGGGAACTATTTTCTTCGCGGCTTCATGTCGAATTGAAGATGGATCATTAAATTTTCAAGGCGTTGATTAACCAAGGATTTAGTCTTTCTCGTACATAAGCAGTGGCTAAGAAGAAAAAGTTAATCATACCTTGTCCTGAAGTTCAGTCATCTTACTTCAACTCAAACTTTGCAGCAAGATCCCCAAGGACAGAGGATATATTGTATACCCATCCTGTAAATCAAAGTTTTTTTGTGCCTGCAAAGGCTTAAGTTATTTGTTGTGTGCTCAGAGTGAGGCTATGGGCGTTTTGTTGAATGTTTATGTGGAAATTGAATATACCTAACTGTGACCCTGTGATTGTTTGTATATTTACTACAGTCAAACAGCATATTCAAATAATTTATTCACCTAGCTCATCTCATAGCTGTACCCCGCAGGATTTGTACTTATTGATGTCTCGAGCAGGAACAAAGCACTAAACTAGCTTAGTTATCATTTCCCACATTTTTCGGAGTGTCAAACATGGCATACAGCAGTGCAGAGCAGCTTCAGAGAAGAAACACTTAAAATGCACAGACTCGCACCAGCCACCCAATGAGCCAGTTCCTCATTTAGCTGCTGTTACCCTGGATGTGGTTTGGCAAGGTGAGCTAACTGTTGTCAAGTTGAAGGTTAGCAGGTAAGATTGAGTTAGGGTGAGTACCTAGTACCTGTAACTGGGTGCTAATGCTATGGTCTTGGGTAAGTTGCAAATAAGTGTGATGATTGAGGTTAGGTCAGGTTAGTCAGGTATGAATTGATCAGGTCACATTTTTTATGGACACTTGGCAAATTAGAAAAAAGTAGCATGACCTAATCTTAGCTAACCCAACTATGCCTACTTAACTACTAAACTACTGAGCACCTACCGAAATTGTGCCTACATCTCATACCAAGTCAAAATAAAGTTCCTTTCTGGAAGATTACCCTCAGTCCCTCAGTACTTTTTATCCCAGCCCTGTGAAAACCTAATACTTCTAAGTTCTGAGTCCCTTCTGGCCATCCACAGAAAGAAATGCTGACAGCTTTGCTTGTGTATATTAGACCAATAATCACCATCACGAATGACTATGAACACATGACATGATCACATCGTTGCATGGATTTTCACATTGACAATTTTACTTAAATCCTTTTTTCAAGAAATGCAAAGTAATGATGAACATCAAATTAAACATTAAGCTGATTTAGTGATCCAAGCTTTCTTCTCCAGTAGCAATAGAATGATCGCATGTTTCATTTGCCAGACACTGAGTACCTAATGCACATTACCATCTGCATAGCAAAGTAAAGCTGCCTAGTGCCTGGGTTCGTTCATTCTAGAATTTTTCACTTGATAGTTAGCACTCATTGATCTTGCTGCTGTAAGTTATATTTCAATATTCATACCAATACATCAATACGCGTTCATCAACCAACATTTACTGGCTTGATACTGCGCGTGCCCTTCAGTATTGATCTCCTGCAATACCTATTATAGCTTGTTTTCGGCCAATAAGCTCTTTTAATTTTACTTTTTATCTTGCTGATAAGTGAGCCAGATCAACTTGTGTTTATCAACCAACATTTCCTAGCTTCAACCTGATATTACTCAGGACTCAGGACTTGCACTTGGACTCTTCAGTCTCCTGTATACTTCAACTTGGGATTGTTTTCAGTCAACATGCTTCTTTAATATGACATAATTCAGTCACAAGGGATTCAAAACTTCCAACAAAACGACATACTAGAGTTCGAAAACCACCAGATAAACTTGAAAAATGCCTTGAAACGGAGCAGAACGGAGCCAAGTGGTGCTCCATTTGTTTGTTTACAATAATTGTAGTGCTGATGTATTGTTTTAGGACTCTAGCGGTCGGCTTATAAAAAATGAAACATTTTTACAAAATCTGTATGGCAATTAATATTTTTCTGAAAGAACTAAAATATTCAAGAGCCAAACACTATGAAATACAGGAATCGGAACGAAAAAGTAACCCAAAAATCCAGCCAAATAACCGGCTCCTAAAACTGCGGCAAAATCAGCACTTTTCCCCGCAACTCGTTGTCCAGACGTAAATATGCTCCGCTTCTCTGTGACAGGACATAGACGAGTGCGCCGTGCAGCCGTGTCTGAACGGCGGCAAATGCGCCAACCTGCAGGGCGGCCACCGGTGCGCCTGCCGCGCCGGGTTCGCCGGCGCCGACTGCGCCATCAATGTCGACGAGTGCACCACGGCTGTGTGCCCCGAGAACTCGGACTGCGTGGACGGCGTCAACGGACACGACTGCGTCTGCCGGCCAGGCTTCTCAGGTGAGACGACAGCGGCGTGGGAGAGCCTGCAGGGGTCTCAACTGAGACCGCGGTGAGTATGTGAATGAAACGGGTTGGGCCAGGGTCTCAAAATAGTTTATACTGTAACATGACATTCTAAGAATTAACACTCGATAGGGTTCTCAAATGAGAATGCACATCAGTTCCACTGAATGCTTCCTCACGACTCTCGACGGTTCATAACCGGTTACATCCGAGTCAGGGAACGGATTGTGAGACTGCCTGTCACAATGCCTGTGAGACTGCCTGTGATAATGCCTGTGATAATGCCTGCGACCAGCGGGGACTGTCGTGCACGGCTGGTGGAGTACCCTGACCTGAGCTGGACCCAGCTGACCTGGCTGGCACGGTGGCGGTGTCACTGCGGGCGGGCGCCCTCTCCGGGCTGTAGATACGTCTATAACCGGGTGGTCCGGGAGGGCGCGCGGCTGTCGGTCGCCGGCCGGGGCTGACAGCTCGGCCCGCTCGGCCGCTCTCTCTCTCTCTGACAGGCTCCAATGGCACGTGCACGCCGGTGAGCTCGTGCGAACCGAACCCGTGCCTGCACGACGGCGTGTGCAGCCAGAACGGCGACGGACAGGTGATCTGTTACTGTGAGCACGGATTCTCAGGTCAGTGCCGGCGCGCAGAGTGTTGGGGGCACGGGTTACAGAAACAGTCTTAGAAAGGGTGGCATAGAAATGTTGTGCATGGTCTATTTCTAGTTAAAAGTGGTCATGCAATGAAGTCTTGGGTGGTCGTAATAGGGACGGAATTCCAAATTATGTAGGATGGTGCTCTGAGAATGGGGGATTTGGAGTATTTCAACTGCATTTCAAGTATCTTACGATGGGGTGTAAGACGAACCTTCAAGCATGTTTGAACAATTATTAACGGCATGTTACAGATTAACTCATGCAGGCATGTTACTATTTTATCTAATTGCCTCAGATTCTTGCAATATCCTAATGCACGCTATTCATTCTAAGTTGTCATGATAATATTCGCACTTGAAAAAAGGCATCGACATTGGAAGTTGTAGCTTACACCATATTGAAGTGCACATATGTATCTAAAATATAATATTGTATCTGATGCGCAACCAAAGGTAGATTTGGGACGCTGTATAAATTGTATGAAATTGTTAATCAACATTGCTTTCAGATATTTAGTTGTCTTGACCCGCCGCGACTGATGCATATTTTGAGCTGCCAATTGAATGAATTTAAACACCTATTGCCTGCCTGTTTTTTTTTTTCAACGCCCTGCGGTACAGTTTCACCCCAGCATACCTAAATCCACGCAGACTCGCACGATAGTTTGATTTCAAATAATATGTAGTTCCGAATTCATAGCTTCACAATTTGATTGAAGTGTGGGTACTCCTGTGGACTTTGTATGATCTGAATGGCCTCATCGCACAGGGCATCTCAATCCTGCTCTCCCCTCAGTCGTCATCTCAGACCAGCTACCCATCTAATGGTAGATCCTCTGCCCACACCGAGTTATTCTGCTAAAGTCTGCCCTTTTGACCGTCTCCCGTCCCCATCTCCCATAGTCCACAGGTCCACTGTGCGCCTCCGTTCTGACCATCTCCCTTCCCCGACTCTCTCACAGGTCCACAGTGTGCCTCAGTATAGGTTTCTGACCCTGTCTCCCTCCCCGTCTATCTGACAGGCCCGCAGTGCGCCTCAGTATGGATTTCTGACACTGTCTGCTCCCGTCTATCTGACAGGCCCACTGTGCGCCTCAGTATGGATTTCTGACACTGTCTGCTCCCGTCTATCTGACAGGCCCACTGTGCGCCTCAGTATGGATATCTGACACTGTCTGCTCCCGTCTCTCTCAGGCCCACTGTGCGCCTCGGTGCTGACCGTCTCCCCTCCCCGACTCTCTCTCAGGCCCACTGTGCGCCTCGGTGCTGACCGTCCCGGAGCTGCCGCCGACGCTGCCGGCCGAGTCCAGCCTGCCGCTGCGTCTGGGGCCGCGCCAGGGACCCTCCGCGTGCAGCTCCTCGCCGTGCGCCAACGGGGCCAACTGTACGGACACGGAGGAGGGCGGGTTCCGCTGCGACTGCGCGCCCGGCTTCACGGGCGACACCTGTCTACAGACCGTCAGCTGCGTGACTAGCGGCTGCCAGAACGGCGGCACCTGCCAGCGGGACGCCGCCGCGCCCGTCTGCCTCTGTCCAGAGGGGTTCTCAGGTGGGGAGCGGTGGGCGAGAGGGGAGGGGTCTGGGAGAGGCTGGGTGAGAGCTTGGTGAGATACAAAGCTCATTGGCTGGTCAAGACAGCGTTGATGATCGGACTAGTCCCTTGAATTGTTGGTTCGGTGCGAAGCTGTCTTAATTGTTGTGTCTAGACAAACTCCAACCAGATATGGCAAGGTGCCGACTTTGTTATATCTTTCCGTTGTATCTAGATGGCTTATATGTAGGTCTGAATCATGCTTGGCGAGCTGGTAAACGGAAACCTTGCCGTTGTATTGCTACTGAACACTGACCGTGTCCCGTATACCTGCAGGCGATCTCTGTGACCAGACCAGTAACGCGTGCGACCGACAGCCGTGTATGAACGGCGCAGAGTGCGTGGTCACGAGCAACGACGTGGGCTACTACTGCGAGTGCCAGTCCGGTGAGATAGGCAGAGGCCCGCGGCGCGGCAGGAAACGTGGGGCTGTCGGGGCGAGGTCAGTCTGAGGTGGCGGGGTGTTGTAATGCTCTTCGGGTAAGATGTGGAAAGATTGGCGATATGTTTTGCCTTGTTAGTCGTGCACATCAAAGTGATGTCTACATATTGTTTTGTTTCCTTGTTGATGCTACTTCCTACTTACTCCTGTTCACTAGCTGACTCCCCCATCTCTCTTTGCCGCAGGGTTCGAGGGTCTCGAGTGCGAGCACAACATCGACGAGTGCCGGGGCGTGCAGTGCGCCGCCGGCCAGCAGTGCTTCGACCTGGTGAATGGCTACGAGTGCCGCTGCCCGGACGGCTTCGTCGGCGAGCTGTGCGACCAGAACGTGGACGACTGCGCCGACAGTCCGTGCCAGAACAACGGCACGTGCGTGGACAGCGTCAACGACTACCAGTGCATCTGCCCGCCCGGATACACGGGTGCGTGCGGGGCTGGACAGGACAGGGAGAAGGATCTGATGTGGCTTTGTTGGTTAACTGGTTTAGCCGTAAAGTCGCGGGATTATTTGAAGCTCATATCGATGATTGTTTCAGTATTGTAACCCTTACTTGATAGCCTGTGTTCGATTTGCTCGATGCAAAAGATTAGGTATCATTCTTGTACAGGCAGAGTGAGAGGTGCATGCCATTCATAAATGTGAGGCTAGGCAGCAACGGCCAGCGGAGCCTGTAGTTTTTCAGTCACTGTGTTTCGTCAGAAGCAGACTGCCCTCTACCGCTCCACACCTCTCTGGTTTCTCTCGCCTATACTCCCTTCCTCTGTCTGACTGGCCCTCTGCCCACAGGCCGTAACTGCACTGACGACCTGGACGAGTGTGAGGTCAGTCACCCGTGCGTGCACGGAATCTGCCAGAACACAGTGGGCTCCTACCAGTGCTACTGCCGACCTGGCTTCCTCGGAGACCACTGCAACCTCGACTACGACGAGTGTCTCTCGCAGCCCTGCCTCAACAACGGCACCTGCGAGAACCTGGTCAACGGCTACAACTGCCAGTGCGCGCCCGGCTTCACCGGTGAGCAGAGACACCTGCCGGGCGGCCGGGGAACTAGGGCTGACGCTGGGGTGAGGTGTACGGGGTAGACAGGAGGGGTGCTGGGGATTTTCCGAGGTTTTACACGGGATTTGGACGGTCGAATGATATGATGACTGATTATCTGGTGCGATGTGTCAAGGTAGATGTAGATGTCAGGTGTACAGGGGTTCTTAAAAGTGGAATGAACTCTGTGCATCCTCCAAAACTGGTTCAAGCTATGACAGCTCTGAATTAGTAGAGAGGGTTGACAGGTTGTGTGCCTGATCTGATATTTGATAAGTTGTCATGTACCAGGACATGATGGCATGGGATCGGACGATAAGCAATTGCAAAATGACTATCTACAAGGTGTGAGACCCACGGATTTGTGTGGCCTTGCAAAGTTCCACTTCCTAAAGAAAGTACTTTGAATATCTTTGTACGTTCTCAGGGAAGAACTGTGAGGAGAACATTAACGAGTGCGCGCCGGACCCGTGTCAGAACGGGGCCACCTGTGTTGATAAGATCGCCAGCTTCGAGTGCGTCTGTCTGGCGGGCTTCACCGACGAACTGTGCCAGACCAACATCGACGAGTGCGAGGTGGGTGTGGGGACTGGTGAGCGTTGAAAATGGGGGACGTTGTGAGGTGAAAATAATGAGTTCAGTGAGATTGGTGATTAGATTAGAGATACGTAAATGACCAGATCTCGACTTGACCAGATCAGTCTAGTCGAAAGAGGAGGGATACAACAGAGAAGTATGCTACTAAGTAAATCAAAATTGGTCCACGATCAGAGATAAAAGGCGTTAAAAGTCTTGTTTGTTTACGCCATATCATTCGATCTTGCTAACTTTATCTAACTCCCGTCAGTGCTCATAAGCTCCTCCCACTACCTCCCCTCCCCCTTCCCACACAGTCCTCGCCGTGTCTCAACGACGGCGTGTGCGTGGACGGAATCAACGAGTTCACGTGCGACTGCACCGACACGGGATTCCGTGGCGACACGTGCGAGGTGAACATTGACGACTGCGAGCCACGTCCTTGCCAGCACGGCAGCACGTGTGTCGACCTGGTGAAGGATTACCGCTGCGAGTGCCACCCGGGATTCACAGGTGAGATGACGAGGGAAGGGGAAGGGAGGGAGCGAGCCGTGAGCTGTGACGCCGTGGAATAGCCTCTGCAGCCAGTGTGACCTCAAAACGAATTTTGTCATAGCTATGAAATCATTTAGCTTATGCTTTTTTAACGAAATAATTGGAAACGTAGGATCTTCTCGTCTATAAAGATCACAGATCATATTGTGTCTCGATGCATTTAATCTGGCTAAATGACATTGGATGGTCCAGTGACCCAGCCGTTAAACCCTGCTCTGTTTCGTCACGGCTTTTCCCACGGATTCGGTACAGTCAGTGGCGGCCCATGGCGAGCGAAATGCACTCGTATATACATTCCGTAATAGCTGGCAGCACAGAGCCAATGGTTTCATTGATTGTTATTTACACGGACAGTTTAGTGTCATAGCCAAGCACCGAAATGCGCACATTGATTGGCGATGCTAGCACGGTCGGCCTGATAGGTCCCGCCTATAACGTTCATTGGGTAAGTCACGGCACTGAACAGATTGTGCGACGGATTGTCGGAGGCTAATCCTGCAATGTGTGAACCTAATCGGGCTGGCAGGGGGATTTTTATACCGCTGTTCTGACTTCACACAAAGTGTCTGTGATGTAACGAAGCTAACGCGTAATATGATGATTGAATTAAGCCGCCCGCCCGCACAGTCGGGTGGCAAATTTAGTCAGTCGTGAATTTACCGATGCATGACTTCAGCCCGCTGTGTTTCACACCGCCGGCGGGGTTGAATCACCGCACCGATACCATTCCTTTACAGCAGCACGTTCGGCTGAAGTTTAGCGCTTCGGATCCCGATAACATTTCCAACGGCACGTTTGTCCAGTATCCGCAATCACAAACCATGCCCTTTCTCAAATTCTGCCCCCTCCCCCTCCCCACGGCTCACCTGACTGGGATCACTTGACTGCAAAGTCCTGTTACCCACTGCCCCTTCCGTGCCGTCTCCCGCCGCGGGCCGCCCTGCCAGGCACCTGACGGACCTTCAGCTCTTTCCTGCACTCCCCTCCCCTCCCCTTGTGCTGTACTCGCCGCCGCCTAAAGCCGGATGTGATACTGTGCCGCCCCCCCCTCCCCTCCCCCGGACGTCCAGCCACGGGGCGGAACCGTATGTCATGCGAACAGCACTGGGGGGGGGGGGGGGGTGATGAGCGGCGCTGACTGCGTGACGCGGCCTGTGACGGTATGGGTGGACCCACACAGACCCGCGGCCGGCCCGGCTGGGTGTGACCCGTATCTGCCCCGCCGGGCGGTGCGGTGGGGAGGGGGCGCTGCGCAGCACCCCGCGGCGGCCCGTGCACGGCCGGTAGTGTACCGGGCAGTGCACGCCGGTGCACACTGTGCTGTGGACGGTGCGAGCGGTGCCAGGTGCGGCGGCGCGGACCGGCCGGCGCCGACTGACGGCTAGGAGGACTGTGAGGGGCTGTGAGAAGCGTGGGAAGACAGTGACGACTGTGTGGGGACTGCGAGGATCGTTAGAGGAGCCTGTGAAGATCCTGAAGACAGTGCGGACTGCCCAGTGGCCTATTGACGACTGTGAGGGCCGTCAGACTTTGAGAGGATTTGAAGACTGCTGGGACAGTGAAGACAGTGAGAGCAGTGCGGATAACCGTGCGGCGCAGGCCATGTGGTGCCGCTGGCTTCTGGCCGTTGTTCACATCGTCTCGACGCTGGGACTGTTCGGGGCCGGGGCGGAGCTGCCGGCCCCGGCCCCGGCGGAGACCGCTGGCCCAGCTCCGGTGGTCGCGGCAGCGCAGACCCTAGCCCCTGATCCTTCCACTGTACAGATCTCGGCTCCGGTCCCAGTGTCCACTCTGTCCCCAGCGCCGTCCTCTGACCCGCCACAGCCTCCGAGTTCGGTGGAAACAACTGCACGGTCTGCACGGTCTGAGACGGAGCGTTCGGCTCCAACAGAGACTCCAGCTCCACCTCCGCCTACAACCGCAGTTCCATCCTCCACTACAGCCGCAGCTCCGCCATCACCTCCAACCACATCTTCGCCTTCAACTCCAACCACAGTTCCACCCTCGCCTCCAACCACAGCAGCTGCTGCCGCGGCCTCTGCGGCTTCCACTGTCTCTGGTGCTGGTCCTGATCCTCCACCACCTGTTCATACCACTGTAACTGCTCTCCCTTCTGACCCTGCTCCCGCTACAACACAATCTCCCGTGTCTGCTCCTTCTCCTGATCCTGAGCAGTCCACATCCCCCGCTTCCGCTCCTGCGGCTACTGATTCTGCTCCCGTTCCTGCTGATAATGGTGCTACCTCTGGTGCCATCCCAGACACACCCTCGACTCCAAGCACTCCTGCAAGTCAATCCCCAGTGCAAACAACACCATCTCCAGCGCCTTCAACCACCTCAGTCTCAACAACCTCGACTCAAGACCCAACCACCTCGACCCCGGTCTCAACAACAACAGTTGCGACCCCAACAACGCCTTCGGTTCCAACTTCTACAACCCCGTCACCAACGACAACTCCGTCACCATCACCACCAACCCCTGTCGCAACAACGGCAACGACGCCGGACCCAATCACTACAACTTCGACCCCAACTGAATCTCCGGTCCTAACAACAACAACAACATCAACAGCAACTCCAATCCCGACAACTGCAACCCCGGCCTCGACAACATCATCAACAATGTCGATTCCGACAACCGCAGTCCCGTCTCCAACACCAACAACCTCGGGCTCAACCACTGCAAGCCCCTCTCCAACAACCTCATCCCCAACATCAACCCCGTCAACAACCGCGTCACCGACAACTACAACTACAACCTCAACTACTACAACACAGGCGACAACAACTACATCCCCAACCCCAACAACAATGAAGACTTCTTCAGTGCCGACATCACCCCCCACAAAAGCTACGACGAAGTCTGTTCCAACCAGACCCCCGCCGGGCGATTGCCTTTGTACGTATGGAGCTACCTTCGTTAGTCCTGGTTGCGCTGGTTTAAAAGTAACCATGAGCCTTTGGTCTGTATACCGATAAGCTTAGAGCGGACGGCTGAGCAGACAAAACTCGCCTACCGTGACACACCGTGACAATTGATGCTTTTGTCTTCTGACCTCTGAACTTAGAGGGTCACATGGCCAGTCGTGTCTATTTCCGGCCTTAGTCATCATTTTCAGTGCCGTTTGTGTTTGCTGTCTCTATCTTATCTTTCCGGTCGTTTCTCTGCAGTCTCGGCCATAGGTATGCGTTATCTCGCTCAACGGACGGGTCGTTGCCGGGAGTTCACTCACCGATATCTCACACCACCGTCCCCTCTGCCTTCAGGGAAAAACTGCGAGACCGACATTGCCGAGTGCGACTCTGCACCCTGTCAGAACGGAGCCACGTGTGTGGAGCGTTCCAACAGCTCTCTGTACCAGCTGCCGGCGCCGGTACCGGGCCTGCCGGACTCCTACGACTTCTCCACGGCCGGCGGCTACCTCTGCCTCTGCGTGCCCGGCTACACTGGCGCCGACTGCGAGACGGATATCGACGACTGCGCCTCGTCACCCTGCCAGAACGGCGACTGTACCGACGGCGTGAACCAGTTCTCGTGTCAGTGCTGGGACGGCTACGAGGGTGAGCTGTGCCAGACGGAAATCGACGAGTGTGAGCGCTACCAGCCGTGCCAGCGCGGCACCTGCGAGGACCGCGTGGCCGACTACGACTGTCTCTGCGAGGAGGGATTCGGCGGCAAGAACTGCTCCGTGGAGCTGACCGGCTGCCTGGACGTGACCTGTCTGAACGGCGGCACCTGCGTGCCGTTCGTGGTGAACGAGACCGAGCACGGCTTCCGCTGCCGCTGCCCGGCCGGCTTCTACGGCCAGCTCTGCCGCGAGGAGACCACTGCCTCGTTCGACGGCACGGCGCACGTGCAGGTGTTCTCGCCGGCCGACACGGACAGCTACACGCTCAGCCTGCGGTTCCGCACCACACTGCCGGACGGCCTGCTGGCAGTGGGTCAGAGCGAGCCCGCCGCAGACCCGGCCGGGGAGGACAGCGGCCTCAGCGGCACCGGCGAGGGCTCCTTCTTCCGCCTCCGGCTGAGCGGCGGCGCGGTGAACTTGTTCAGCTCGATGCAGAGCGACCAGCGCGGCCTGACGGTCGGCGCCGACCTGCACGACGCCGCCTGGCACCACGTGCTGATGACGCTGAACGGCTCCACGGCGGCGCTGGCGGTGGACGGCGCCGGCGCCGACCAGCCGCTGCGCGTCTCCTCCTCCGAGGACACCCGGTTCGCCAGCACGCTGCTGGGCCAGGCGGCACACAGCCGGCTCCAGCTGCTGTTCAACACCAGCGGCTTCGTGGGCTGCATGCAGGACATGGTGGTGGACGGCGTGACGGTGGTGCCGGCGCTGCTGGCCGCCGAGCAGCAGCACAACCTGACGCTCGGCTGTCCCAGGACCCAGCAGGTGAGGCAGTACCGGCGACAGGGGACGGGGAGGTGCCGCGGCGCCGACAGACACACGGGGAGGTGCCGCGGCGCCCACAGACACACGGGGAGGTGCCGCGGCGCCGACAGACACACGGGGAGGTGCCGCGGCCTAACGGACTGTTCAAGGGTATGACTGTTCGCCTCAGTGCGCCGACATAGACAAGGTCAGGCGACAGGGACCAACAATAGCCGACCACGGGACGCCAGACGCAACATTCCATTGTTCAGGCAGTGTCAGCAAATCCCTCTGATCCGGGCGTTTGCTTTGGCTGGACTAATAGAGATGCAAACTTTCCGGAACACCAGCATAATCCAAGCGACTCGAAAAACATTCGTAGACTATCGTATATGCACCGTCCGTTTAGGTCCTGCAAATATAACTGTTTGGCTCGGCGAATGTCGCAGAAAGAGGTCATCGAAGAACCGCGAAATCGCTCGCTCTCTTGAGAAGGGCGCATTAGTTTTTCACCCTAAAGCAAAACACGTCACTATTTCTAACCGGGCTTAAGGTTCATTCTAGGCTTTCAGTTTATTTATTTGTTTATTAGTCCGAAACCAGCCACAGGCCAGGGCCCAGTTACGTCGACTGCAGTCAGTAGGTATTGCATTCAAAAGTTTGACTCGACGCTAGCCTTTACTGGCCGGTAGTTTGATCACTTGCCGACTACATAGTAAGGAAACTTAGTTTCATTGCCGAAAATGAACACTTCCTTCAAACTCAAGGCTAGCAAAACTAGCCTTTTGCTAGTTTCTGAGAATTGTCAGCTACTTCAGCGCTAACTACATGTGTAAGGAGTTTGCAAAGTTCGCACTCACTGGAACTACCTGCTGACGTAGGTGCGAAACAACGCCTGCTGCCTGTACCATTGGCCTTGCATTGAGCGATGAAATTTAAAGCCGCTTTTGTTGGGAGAGTAGTTGGCTTACCTTGAGCTCAGCCCTTTGTATTTCTTTATATTTATTATATGTTTATGCTGTGTTGAAGCATACTCGTTAAATGGGTTAAGCTGTGTCGTAAAAAGCCTACCCCTGCTTACGAAGAACGACTGTTAAAACCGGCGTGCGTCCGTGTCTCTCAAGGTTTCTGACCGGCGGGCGGTGCTGTGTTCGTTTCAGTGTGAGCCGAGCCCGTGTATGAACGACGGCGCCTGTGTGGACCTGTGGAGTCAGTACCGCTGCGACTGTGTGCGACCTTTCCTCGGCGCCGTCTGCGAGAAAAGTGAGTCTGAGTACACGCCGGCGATTATGTAGAACGGACTTTGTGCATTTTGTTCTAAAAACTTTTCGTGGTGTAGGACAGGTCTTTTCGTGTTCGGCATTGTGCACTTGTATGACATCAAAAATTTCATTTGCGATGGGCATTGAATGAAAGGAGTTGTTATATGGCAACATGACATAAAAGTCTCCCATTGCTTTGACCTCTAACGCCCCCTCCCCTCCGTTGTCGACAGATATTACGGCGGCCACGTTCAACCACGAGACCTCGCAGGACTCTCTGGTGTCCGTCTCCGTGGAGCCGCAGTTCTCCGACTCTCTGGCTCAGTTCGTCGACCTGTCTCTGTTCGCGCGCACCAGGCAGCCGACCGGTCTGCTGTTCTACCTGGGCTCGGACACCTCGGAGGTGCTCTCCTCGGGTGGGATACCTACCTACCTGGCGGCCGAGCTCAGCGGCGGCCAGCTGCTGGTCCGAGTCAAACTGGACGCGGAGGAGGAGGTGCTGGACGTTCCCGGGCCGCGGCTCGACGACGGCGTCAACAACCTCGTCAGGGTGAGTCCGGGCGAGCGGTGGAAGGGAGTGGTGCCCGGCGGAGGTGCGTTTTGCAAGTGAAGGGCAGGTGCTGGTTTGAGTTTTAACTAGACAGTTTATAGAGCTCTTGAAATACTGTGGTGATTGTCACTTATTTATGTTTTTGGTTTGGCAAAAAAACAGCTACTTTTCACGCGTTATGCTCAGTAATTTTGTTTATCTTCTTCACGGGTCTACAATTGCTGGGCTTCAGTCCTTTACACCTCTATCGAGTTTCTATGTCACGAAGTGTGTAGCTATCGACAACGACCTGTCACGAACTTGACCCCCCCCCTTCTCCCACTCTCCTTCTGCAGGTGGTCCGTAACGGCAGCTCGCTCTCGGTCTCTGTGAACGGCGAGGAGCGTCTGGAGGCGACTCTCGGCTCCGGCGGCGACCTGGCCGCCTCCATCCTCTATCTGGGCCACGTGCCGGAGCCGGTGCGCCGCCGACGCCGGCAGCTGGAGCGCGACGCCAGAGACGAGTTCAAGGGCAGCATCCAGGACGTCAGGGTCAGTGGCCGGGTGGGCTATGAAGGCACTACTGGGTCAGTGGTCATTGGCCAGGCGGGCTGATCTGGGCAGGGGCCACGGGCTAGGGTTGCTCATGTAACTTGCAGACTACCCACAGCTGTGTTTGGTGATACGTTTGTTGTGAAGTTCATGAGTATCATGCTACTTTCAACTCGCATGTTGGCCGTATGTGTATCGAAGTGGCATTCCGTCTGGTTAGTTAGTGCCCAAAATGTCTAGTTTCATGACAAGAAAGTGGTTCATCTCCGGGACCAACTCGGCTGGATGGCACCTAAAACAATGGCTGAATACCATACTCGATAGCCCCGTTTGGAGGGTCACCCGTCGGACCCTCAGTGGCATCAGAAGTCAGACTAGTGTACGTAGATTGCGGAATAAAGCTGTAATAAAGCTTATTACTTGTCTAGACCGAAACCTGACCTGACCTGTCAACTATTGGTCCTCAGGTGGTGAACAGCGCGGGTCAGGTCCGCCTGGTGGAGTTTTACCCTCTGCTGGACCCCGAGCTGCGCCTGCCGCCGCCGCTGGGGGAGGTGACCGGTAACCGGGTGCTGGCCGGATCGGTCAGTGACGACACCTGCCGCGAACAGCCGTGCAGCAACAACGGCAACTGCACCGTCACATGGAACGACTTCAGGTGAGAGGGGAGGGGAGAAGAGGGGAGATGGATGCAAGAAATTGTATTAGGCATGTACGCGTGATTTCGATCATGTTTATGGAAGAGCTTACTTTCGTGGAGGTGTGACAATGTGATATGTAGCGGAAAGTTCCTGTGCGTTATGGATGCTTCGTTTCTGGGGTAAACGATGTTTTTAAAGGAGATGTATAATTCCTGGATAATTTCTTCAGCCTTGCCGGCTGTAGGTACTCACCTCCCCTCGTCAGTGTGTCTGACCATCTCTTTCTCTGCCTGCAGCTGCGCCTGTCCGCGCGGCTACAAGGGCCACACATGTACCGATCTGGAGTACTGCGTGTGGCACCAGTGTCCGGCCGGGGCCGAGTGCCGAGACCTCGCTGACGGCCACGAGTGCGTCACCAACGTCACCTTCAACGGCGCCAACAGTTCGGCGGCGTACTCTGCGCTGCTGGGCGGCGCGGCGCCGCTGCCGGCCTCCCTGTCGGTGGTATTCCGGAGCCGGGCCGGCGGCCGGCTGCTGTCGCTGGCCGCCGGCGCCGTGTCGCTGCAGCTGACGGCCGAGGGCGCGCTGCTGCGCTGGGCCGACCAGCAGCTGACCGTGGCCGCCGAGCAGCCGCTGCTCTCCGGCGAGTGGCGCACGCTGCTCCTCGAGTGGGACGCCGCCGAGCTGCGGCCGACGCTGGACGGCGCGGCGCTGCCGCCGCTGGCGCTGCCGGCGCCGCTGCAGCTGCAGACCCTGCTCACGGGCGGACAGGTAGTGCTGGGCGCCGACCCGGCGGCCGCCGACCCGGCACCGCCCTACCGCGGCTGTCTGTCGGCCGTGCGCATCGGCGGCGTGCTGCTGCCGTTCCTGGCTGACGCGGCCGTCAACAGCTCGGCCGCCGACCGGTTCGTGGTGCGTGAGCCGCTGATGTCAGTCGAGCCCGACTGCACCGTCTGCTACCAGCACGAGTGTCGCAACAACGGCTTCTGCGCGGCGCCTCAGCAGCAGTTCGAGTGCACCTGCCCTGCCGGCTTCAACGGCTCCACGTGCGAGCACAACATCGACGAGTGCGCGCTGGGCAACGACTGCACCAACGGCGCCACGTGCCGCGACGGCATCGACGAGTACACGTGCGACTGCGTTCCCGGCTACGTGGGCGCCTTCTGTGAGACGGAGATTGACGAGTGTGCGCCGCAGCCGTGCCAGCACGGCGCCACCTGCCTCGACCAAATCAACAACTACACCTGCGTCTGCACAGACGAGTACATCGGCCGCAACTGCGAGCAGATGAAAATCGTCAACTGCACACACGACCCGTGCCGTAACGGCGCCACGTGTCTGGACGTGTTCGAGGGCGCGCTGGCCGTCAACTACACGTGCCAGTGCCCGTTCGGGTTCGACGGACGCGACTGTGAGCTGGTGACGGACTTTTGCGAGTCGTCACCGTGTCTGAACGGAGCCACCTGCACGTCACGGCCGGGAGAGGTGAGCAGAGGGCGACACTGCGGCCGCTGCACGCACGGCAGACGAGATGGGCAGGGTGTCAGGGGGGGGGGGGAAGTTGAGGAGTCTCGTCGCGGATTTTACTTATCTTACGGGCTATTTCTTGCTTAGTAGTATGTTGTCTTTACTTGCCATCCTTGTGTCATTTTTTAATCATCCGCTGTTTACTTTTTTTTTAGTGTAGTCTTGGCGTCAACTTAATCTGCTTCCACGATTGACAATCACTCATCGTCAACTACAAACACGCACGGGTGTGCCTTATCATCCATCTAACCCGTCCCCTGCGCCGCCCCAGGGATTCCTGTGCCAGTGCGCGCCCGGCTTCGGCTCGGAGACTTGCGACGTGAACATTGACGAGTGCGCCTCGTCGCCGTGTCTTCACGGAGGCACCTGCGTCGACCAGGTCAACATGTTCGTCTGCATCTGTCCAGAAGGTAGGTGGGACTCGTGGAGGGCTCGAGGAAACTGCTGAGGGCTGACTGCGTGAGCTTACCGCAGATTGCATAATCGTGGAAATGTAAAAGAAGCTGCGTGGAGTCTTCAAATGCTGTCTCTTCGTACGTTCTATTGTAGGATCGAGTAATAAGTTTGTAAGATCTCGTGTAATACCTAAAGTTGTAAGATCGTAATACGTCAGATCCCGTGGCTGCGTTAAATGCAGGCGACAAATAGTCGGGCGCAGGTCAAGAAGTTGAAACGGTAAGCCGTTACTGCCACGGTAGCTTGAACTTTGAAGACTTATCCACCGGCTACTGGATGGTTTCGGCCTCATCACGGTGACTATAAATAGGCCTCATCGCCGGTTTTGTTGAGCTGTGAATGAATTCGGCTAGTGGATCCGGATTGATTTGATATGGTCGCTGCTCATAGCTGTCTCGGCCGGGGAGAGAAATGCAGTCCCATCTGAAAGATGCCGCTGTCTGTCCCGAAATGACCTACACTGGGCCTCGGCTCGGCGGCCTATTTCTGGGCACACTGTAGATAGGACGCGGCGCCTTATTACTGAGGGTGATGAACCGCACGGCACGGTCTGGACAAAGCAGCTGAAACAGCCTGAGTGTGATGTAACTTTTTAGGGCGCCGTTTGGGTTTATTGGCGCCTTCTGTGCAGGATTGCTTTACTGTTGGACGGCTTGAGGTTATCTGGCTATCAAAGCCCTGTCGCTGTTAGTTGAAAGTGCTATCACTTCTTTTGATAGCGTTGACGAAAACGGTATCTTTTGTTTGCTTAAATGTTTAACTCTAACACTGGCTTTCAATTCACGCTCGTGTAACTTGGTACACTCGGGGGCAGATTGATGTTCCACCACTCCCTACCCATCGGGCGATCCCATGGCTCAGCACTGGCTGCTGCCAGTGTTGCCTGCCCTCAGCACTGCTCAGCACTGCCTGCCAGTACCAGTGCTGTCAGTGCTGCCACTGGCAGCAGCCAGTGCTGAGCCATGGGAGCCCGATGGGTAGGGAGTGGTGGAACATCAATCTGCCCCCGAGTGTACGGGGACAATGTGCACGAAAAAAAATCATGATTAGTTAACATTTTTGGAAAGTTCGAGGTGACTAAATTGAAATGGTCTTTTCGAGTAGGCTGGCTTTTCGAGTAGGTGATGTCTACCTGTGCTAAGTTTCATAATTTGTTTATTGCGGGACATTGTTTCTCCTTTCTTTGAAGCCGCTGTAAGCACGTAAACTACTGTTTATCGCGTTACGTGCTATATCGCTGTGCAGCTCTAAAAAAACATCGTGTAATTTGAATATTTTATTGAGGACTTAGGTACGTAGTCAAGCTGTACGACTTTGCGATAATGGCGACATATGTGTGTGTTTGGTGCACGGTCGTATTGCCATCGCAAATCCAATTCGGGATATTACAGTGTTGCACTGCTGATTGCGCACGAAACCAAACAAGCTGACGTTCTTAACTCACTTCATTTATAGCAGCAATAGAAGACCAGTTAAGAGAAGCCAATCTATTGAGCTAGCGAAAGGCACCGCAGTAACCTTTCTAACCAGTTGCACCTGTGAGGACCTACCATGAGTCGATGATTAAAGTTAGTGCACGCTGGAGCTATCTTTAAAGGCCTGCTCTCGTCCATGATTAGTTGGAAGCTGACTTGTCTAAATCTGTTCGGATGTTCATTAGTGTCTGGCTCCGGGCGGGACTGGGCTGACCTTCCGTTGTATCAAGTTGGCTGGCGGGACTTCAACTCGGGGAACCGGGAAGTGGTACTCTCGATTATCCCTCCCTCTCTCCCCTCCCTCTTTCCCTGTTGCCGATCTGCATTGGACAACGATCGGTGAGCATGGAACTGCGGGGGGGGGGGGGGCGTTCTGTCGGGCCGTATTAGTCACTGAGCCGCCGGGCCGGCCTCGCTGGTTCAGACCCATACTGACACAGCTCCCCGGTGGCCCAGCGCCCGTCCATAATCAGACACTCTTTCACCGGCGCCGGCAGTGTGTCCCGCAGTTCCATCAGCGGCCGGCGGGGCGAATTCATTCGCCGCCGCCGCGGACGTGCCGCCTCATCAGGCGGACGGCGATATTGTTTCGCCGCCCGGCCGGCGGCCGTGAGCTATTGTTCACCTGGGCGGCGGCCGTGGTTGGGCGCGCGACCGACAGATGTCTCTGGGTGTCGGTCGGTCGATAGCGGGCCGTTTGGCCGACCCGTTCAGTCCGGTTAAATATTGTATCGCACCATGGCTCGGTGCCGGTGAGCGGCCGTCGTCGTCATCTCCCGGCCGGATCGCCCCGCTCCGGTCCGGGCGGGGAGAGCAGAGGGGAGGGATAGAGGGAGGAGCAGACTGGCTGCCCTCCAGAGGTGGCGATAAATGACTGTCCTGGACCGATTTGACAATGTGCCGACAGCTGATCGTTCCCACTCGTCACGGTTTCAGCTATCGCTTCCATTACAACCACTTAATCTGCACATTTACCGCGTATCTGCGCCGTGATGCTATAATAGGATGCTTCGTCCTCATTATAGTTTTTTTTTTGCGCTGTTTTTACGCAAGCTATCGATACCTATTTTGGTACGGGTCTCCGTTCCGTTTCTGTTTTTGTTTTATTTATCTGGGGCATCTCCGTCTCAGTCTACCGTCTCTGACGTCCAGTCCGTACCGTCTGTCGTCACCGCCGTTCTGCCTGCCGTCTCCTGCCGTCTACCGTCTCCTATCGTCCCAACTACCGTCCGCGCCGTCCTGTGCACCTCCCCGCCCGCCTGCCGTCTCCCCGTCTGCCGTCTGCGCCGGAGATGTATGGCGCGCCGTTCCCTGGCCGTGACGGAAGTGTACCGACGCCGCGCCGCGCCGATGGCGTCATTCTCAGAAGGCCGTCATCCATTGTCGGCGCGGCTATCGGCCGCCGGCGCCACCGGCGCGCTGTTTTCGACTGTAGCCGAAAACGGAGGCCACAAACACCTGATGGCCGCCAATCAGGGAGTTTATTCGATCGCAATCAGATTTAATTAGTGTCGTGCCGTGTTGTTTTGATGTTCGTGGACTCTGGCGCTCAGCGCCCTAAGGACACGTTTTCCTTTTGTTTACAGCTACGGGGCAGAACTTCTGTTTGGTCTATTTTTGTTCGCCCGTTATTTACATGTCAGTGTCAGGACTAATGTGCAAATATACGTGATCAGTCGTTAGCTGGAGGTCATAGATCACGGCGATATTACATTACAGTGCTGGCCGTCGGTGCTGTGCCCGTGGTGCAGGTCGTGTGTATCAATGTGCGCCGCCCGCTCGATGTCCAGTGTGTGTCGTCGGTCACGTTTTCCAATCAACAATCGCCATCCATTGTGTCATGTCGGGGCGGTGCTGGATCGTCCTGACGTGCACGCGGCAGCGGCCGGCCGCTCGTTGCTATCGTAACAATGGCGGCTCAGTGGTGTACGGCCTGCTCGGCTGACACCGTCCGTGACTAGCCTGACAGGCATTTACTGTCGGTGGGTAAATTAAATGTGTGGTGTGCAGCGCTCTACCAAAGCTCGGACTACAGAGGAGCGGAGGAGCAGCCGGGCTGGTGCACCGACCCACGTATTGTGTGCGTAGCAACACGCCGGCTCGGAAATGGCACGGCGGAGGATATCCGTCGGTGTCGCACATTTCCACAGGGAGCGACAGAGAAATCAGAGGACCGGCGCCCGTATTGATACAGGCCGGGCCGGGTAGACACCATCAGTGCCCGGGGATGTCCCAGGCGACCGGCGCTGGATCTGCCCGACCGGTGAGCGGGACGCTATTGGACGGCAGACGTGCGGCGGCTGGCTTTGATCGCATTCAGACGATACCCCCCGATGTTTTTGTAATGAATAGTCGCTGGTTCGATGGCCCACTGACTGCTCCATGTCAAATCGGAACTAACGTCAACCGCTGCGGGTTCAAAATTATTGGAAGTGTGCCTTCAAATATTTCTCAGAGAGCCTGACGCAAAAAAGAAATCAAAGGAGTGGCAATCGTTTTGATAAAACGGTTGGACGGTGGATCGCCAGGTCTCCCCCGCCCTCTCCATCTCCGTCTCCCTCTCCTTCTCCCTCTCCCTCTCCCTCTCCCTCGCCCATCTCCCTCTTCCTCTCCCACGAGGAACGGCGCCGCCCATCGCACCGTCCAGCGATACCTCGGTCTAGGTGTATCGATAATACCTCCATCCGTTGCGTCCCAGCGGCCGCCGCGGTGCCTGCCGCCGGCCGCCGCGGTGTCTGCCGCGCTGCCCCAGCTGCGGAGACGGTCGGTGTCGTTTACCGGCCGCCGAGTGAGGTGGGACGCCCGCCGTATACGGTGGGACGCCCGCCGTATACGGTGGGACGCCCGCCGTATACGGTGGGACGCCCGCCGGATACGGTGGGACGCCCGCCGGATACGGTGGGACGCCCGCCGGATACGGTGGGACGCCCGCCGGATACGGTGGGACGCCCGCCGAGTGAGGTGGGACGCCCGCCGGATACGGTGGGACGCCCGCCGGATACGGTGTCGGTGTGTGGGCGGGATGACACCGCCCGGTCAGATGGGGGTAGGATAGGGTGCAGCTGGCTATCAGAGGAATTCGTCCGAGATAATGCTAGGTGAGGTGGAAGAGAATGGAGAGATGGAGAGATATTATTGCATTTGAAAAATAGACTGCAGCGTGTCTGAAAGCTCGGATATTGAAACGGAATGGAAGGGAATAGATACATCTGGGGCAAGACAGGCCTGTGTGCTTCAGCCGAGAGCCCGACGCAACTTCCCAGAACACACCCGAGCCAGAATGAAGAACGATAAAGCGTGAACGGCATATCGAGACACGATCCAGATGGCTGAACACTGAACAACAAAGACGCATTGGAATACAGGGTGGACCAAAAAGGATGGAAACATTTTGAACTCGCATAAAATATGTGTTATTGCATGCAGGTGACTGAAAATGATACCAAACGAGAGTACATTTCGTGGAAATTCATAATGACATCTCTCTCATCTGCTTTCTCACGTTTTCAGTCTCCCACAGCAAATGTTCGAAAAGACCACTTTTGCGAGACAGGCAAAGAGCGGCCCGCCTGGCTGCTGACGCGATAGCCCGATGACACATGTCCGCTGGTTTGGCTCGCACAGCCTTGGTGATCACTCTCTTCAGGTAACAGATGCCTTTAGAACCTTCCTTGTAGACCTGGCCTTGAGATGACCCCACAGGAAAAAAATTCATCGGGGTCAGGTCAGGCGATCAGACAGGCCAGTTCCGACAGGCTCTGCGGGATATCAGCCGGTCACCAAAGTGGTTCTCGCTCCACTTGAGCGTTGTTTCGCGATGTGAGGAGGCGCACCGTCTGGCTGGAATCACATGAGGTCCATGAGACTGCCATACTTCGTTTGGGCTCACTTCAACAACTTCTTTAGTGTCGCTTGGTAGCGCGTTTGGTCGTCAGTCACGGTGTTGTCGCTCCCATCCTCGAACCGAAGTGGAACTGGCCTGTCTGTCTTCTCATCTGACCTATGGATTCCTTTCCTGTGGAGTCATCTCAAGGGCCAGGTCTACATGGAAGGTTATGTAGGCCTCTGTTATTTGAAGAGAGCGATCACCAAGGCTGTGCGAGTCATACCAGAGGACATGTGTCATCGGGCTATCGCGTCAGCCGGCAGGCGGGCCGCTCTGTGCATGTCTCGCAAAGGTGGCCTCTTTGAACATTTGCTGTGAGAGACTGAAAACGAGAGAAAGCAGATGAGAGAGATGTCATTATGAATTTCCACGCAATGTTCTCTCGTTTGGTATTATTTTCAGTCACCTGCATGCAATAACACATATTTTATGCCAGTTCAAAATGTTTCCATCCTTTTTGGTCCACCCTGTACATCAATACTCGGAGAAAAGTCTCCCCCGACTCCTCAGAGGAGGCCGGTGGTCATAGCCCGTAGGCAGCCGCGTACGCTCGAGTCGCGGCCGGTATATGATGTCCGTAAATGATGCCCGTATATGATGTCGGGAGATAATGTCCGTGTCTGCCCGGAATCTGCGGCCAATCTCACACCGGGTGTCGCCCTTCGGATCACCGCTGTCCGCCGTCCGGACTGATGGGATGGGCCAGTCTGCGTGGACTGGACTCTGCTCCTTCGGGATGGACGGACTGGTCAGTCAATGGCGAACGACTCGTCCGCCCGGGAACTTCCACTCTATCTCCCTCTCTTTCTCTCTTCCATCTCTCTCTCTCTCTCTCTCTCTCTCTCTCTCTCTCTCTCTCTCTCTCTCTCTCTCTCTCTCTCTCTCTCTCTCTCTCTCTCTCTCTCTCTCTCTCTCTCTCTCTCTCTCTCTCTCTCTTTCTCTCTCTCTCTCTCTCTCTCTCTCTCTTCTCTCTCTCTACCTCTTCCTTCCTTCCTCCCTCCCTCCCTCCCTCCCTCTCTTTCTCTTTCTCTTTATCTCTCTTTCTGTCTCACTCTCTCACTCTCTCTCCCTCTTCCTCTTTCTCTCCCTCCTTCCCTCTCCCGCTCCGCCGAGCGCCACACCCGGTGACGGCCATCACCCGGAGACCGTCTCCGTCTGCCGAGCAGCTGCGCTCATACAGTGCCGCCGGCAGCAGCGGCGCCCGGCCGCCGGCCGGCGTGGTGTGATTTCCGGGCCAGACGGCCATCCTATCTCGACATCGGCCGGCCCCGTAGCTGAGCGGCCGTTGGCCAGAGCTGCGCTGTCACTGAGCGGCCTTAGAGCAGATGGGATGGTGCTGAGCACGGCTCAGAGGCAGCTTTGCATGTGTCTGAGATGGTCGGCTCGCCGTAGTTGATCCGGGGTCAGAAGGGCGTGACACCGTGAACCTCGCCATGACCCGCACCCGGACCGGTATTAGCAGTTTGGAGCGGTCCCAGCACGGTTTGGAGCGGTCCCATCACGGTTTGGAGCGGTCAGCGAGGTCGGGAATGGTTTCAGGGAAACCGGTTCTCAGAACTGAAGACGCTCAGTGGTACGCACAGGGCAACTCCAACGCTTTGTAGTACCCAGGACGTAATCTGCGGTATCACTCCGGCGGTTTCATCACCCTTACCTTACGTATATGTGGACCGTTGCATTGGCACCCAGGCCGCGTGTCGCCCCGGTTTGTCGCCCCGGGTGGTGTTCGTATCTATCACGGCAGAGTCCGATGTGGTCTGCGGACCGTCCGCCGGCGCACAGCCGCTGTCCGACCAGATACCGCCGGGGATGTTCCGCTTCCCGCCGAGGTAATTCAGTTTCTCACCCGCCATTCGTCACACGTGACCTGAGTGCCAGATGGAATTAGATTGGGACTCACCGCGGCATCTGACGTGGCCGACCGTTCTTAGCGCCACCATATGGCTGTGGCCATCCCTGCGAGTAAACAGATGTGTCCTGCAGCATGTGACCTGCATGGGCCTCTGCAAGACTGTTTTGCCAGGGAATTGGGCAAAAAATAGAATGATGTATGACGATGACTGCATTGGCGCTGATGTCTACCGTTGATGCGGATGAGGTAGGTATAATCACCGTCTAACCCTGCTACCTGTGCCCAGTTGTATGAGTTGCCTGTTTGAGTCGCCATCCGACCTGGCCTGACCTGTGTGCCCTCTCCCCGGCAGGCTGGACGGGCCGCCGCTGTGACGAGGACATTCCCGAGTGCCAGTTCCCGATCTGTCGGAACGGCGGCAACTGTACAGAGCTGGAGGGCAGCTTCGAGTGCACCTGTCCAGAGGAGTTCTGCGGCAAGGTGTGCGACCTCGACAACCACTGCTTCGGAAAGGTGAGAAAAATACAAGGGAAAAATAGAAAAATACGTGATATAACCACAAAGCACATTTCCTGTTTTGATAAATGTACTTTTTAAATTGCATCAACATAAAAAACAAAGCAACCATTCTCCGTAACCTGTAGGGAGTTTCGACTAAGTCTTTCTACCACGCCTTTCCTCCCCTTTCTCCCTCCCTTCAGCGATGCGAGCCTGTAGGCCTGTCTGTCGCGGCACCGCGTGAGTATCCTCACCCCATCCCTTCCTCCCTCCATCCCCTTCCATCCGCCGGACGAACGGCCGTTTTTCCGCCCCGCTGAGCGATCGAGTGGCCCGTACGGCCGCCGCTGACGTCCGTCCGTCCGGCTGGTCAGACGGTCTAGCCACCCAATAACGCCGCATGCATATTGCATGGCCGGAGTGGGCCACACCTGGCGGGGCGGCCTCATAAAGGCAGCTGGTATGCCGCCCCCTCCCCCAGCGGTCGCCGAGGCCGGCCGACCTGCGACCCTCAGTTCCCATGGCTGCTAATGCTGATTTGTGGCTATTGACAGGGATAGCGCGATGGAGAGGGGTCAAGAGGCGGTAGTGCCGTTATTTGACAGACATTTTCCCCAGCATTGAGTGTGCGTGGGGAGAGGGGGGAGGCGGAACAAGTCGGAAGCTGATGTTTTTGTTGGGTGTGGTTGTTGATTAGTTTGTTTTGGCAGAGTTCACCTAAATGTCGTTGACTTAGCACGGCTTTGGAAAATGGGATAACACTAGGGTCTGACTGATGTAATTCTGTCACCCGGATTATTTGATCAGTCATTTTGTTCTGTCACAGTTGTCACTTGCCCGTCCCTCACCGGACCTATCTTTCCTCCGCCAGACGGAGGAGGATGGCTGTAAGAATGGCGGCATCTGTGTGCCCTACTGCATGGGCGACCCCAACAACTACGGCATACACAACACCACGTGTCAGTGTGTGGACGGCTACTCAGGCCCCACCTGCGAGGAAAAGGTGAGGACCGTGAGGGGAGTCTCTGTCAGTGTGTGGACGGGTATTCGGGGCCGACCTGCGAGGAAAAGGTGAGGACCGGGCTCTCTGTCAGTGTGAGGATGGCTACTCGAGACCGACCTGCGAGGAAAAGTTGGTGACCGGCCTGGAGGTGTGCGCGGTGGTCTGTGTCCAGTGGGGAAGGTGATGATTCGTTACAGAGGTGGTTATAATTATAGGGATGTGGCCTGGTTTTGTTGTGCTGCCTTCGTTGCATTGGGTTGCGCATTGTGCGCTGGAGGTTGAATTCGGGGCAATCGAGATGCAATACCAGGTATAGTGATACGATCAAGCTGGTTTGCCTACAACAGTTGCATTATATTTTTACCACCTTAAAGCTGCATTCCAAACTTACCATTAAATGCGTCAAGATTTAGTCCCGGGACACCGGCGTCCGCTTCTCTCCGCCGCCGCTAGATGGCAGCAGTGGTGAACGCCTGGAGAGGTATACTGTACCGCAAGGCAGGGCATCCAGTTTCGGAGCCGGAATTGAACGAGCCTGATTTAGTGGTTTGAAACAAAGACTGAAAAGCTGGGTATCAATGGCCAGTAGTTTAGGATAATGCATTCGAGGATCATGTGACTGAAAATGTGTAACTCTTTTAACTACTGGCTACTGCATACGGTAGGAGGCATCAATTAGGTATTCATACCGGACGATTTTCTTGGCGCATTCAGCAAATTTCCGCTTGCAGTACGAGCTCCGCTGATTCTGGTGGTTTTGCCCTAAATTTCACCGTAGAGTGCTAACTCATTATCGAACCCCTGTTTTGATTTGACTGGATACCCGTCCCTGGAAAGACGACAAATGCTGGCTTCGCGTTAAGATTATGATAATGAAAGTGTTAAGCCGCGGCTGTGCTGATATCACCGTGTCTGCGGGGGGGGGGATGGTGCCGGGGTGGGGGAGGGTGTTTGTCTACTGCTCGTCATATGGGCGGTGTCGCGCCGGGACGGGTTGTTTACCATTCCACCGATCCACGCGCCGCCCCGAGGCTAAGCCGAGGCGCGGCGTCGACCGGACGACTGAAAATGATAACCGATGTGGGCCGTCGCTCCGGGGCACGCGGGCGGACTTTAAATAGTGACGGGACAATTTGCCTAATTTGGGATGGTGCTGGCACGCCGGTGTTATTTCGCGACCGAACTGACGCGGTGGATGACGTGCCGATCCTGTAATGTCCCGGACAGCTGATGACGAGGAGATATTGTATGCTGTACCAGCCCCTAACCGTGGGCTGCTCTCAATCTGTCGCTTGACTTTGTCACCCGCTGCTAGCAGACAGCGGTGACAGGTGGGACTGTTCCCATATTTTCAAAGCCCTCTTACCATTGTCCAACTGTGTTTGTTTTCCTTCAGAGCTGCCGTAAGTGTTAGCTTCTCGTTAGTTTCAGTCGGCTATCGCGATGTTTTACTTCTGTTTTCAGTCTCAGACTGTTCGCATTGTGTTTGTGGTGGCTGACGCAGTGTTTTACCCCCGTTTCAGTCTCAGACCGGTCAGATTGTGATGGTGGTGGCACCTGTACTGGGCATCCTGCTACTAGCCGCCATCGTTGGCATGGTGATATTCACCACGATGGCCAAGAACAAGCGGGCCACGCGCGGCACCTACAGCCCGAGTCGACAGGTGAGCAGTCGGTCTCTGACTCACCCAGGGGTGACTCGAGTCCGACAGTCACCGGGGGCGCCAGCGGCAGTGAGGCCTGGTCACGCCACCTGACTCATTGGTCCCATCATTTGGCGGCAGTCGGACCAGGCGTGTTTTGGCGTTGGAAGCCCTCTAGACGGGCCCATTAGGTGAAGGTGGAGCGGCCTATGAAGAGCCGGCGGGCATGAGACGGCGTCTGGCCAGGGAATTGTCGTTAGATAATAGTCCTGTGCTGGAACTGTCACGTGGAGTAGTGAGCTCCCTTAGTCATCCCATTGTATTACTTCGTTAACTGCTGCAAATGGCCGACTGTCAGGGACGCTCCATGACAAATGAACTTAGCTCAGGCGTGAATTTGCATCATTTAATTACGCTACGGCTGAACAAAGAGCATATCCTCACACTGCTAAATGGGACAAAGTTAACATACGTGACGAGTTTTCATTTTAGTCTGTCGTAAACCCAACGCTAATGAATTGCTCCATAAAGTTATATCGCTCGTACCAGACGACACTCGACTGCCATAATCGGTGACATTGTAGCGCTGCTGAAGAGAGACTACCGCGCGCCGCTGATCTCTGAAGTTTTCGAATGGGTCCTCCGGTCCTCCATCTCACCGCCTGGCATGTAAAGTTTTCTGTCCAGTAAGGTCCAAGTACCGATCACAAAAGGGATGGAAGCAGCTCACTTTGAACTTCGGTCCATCTGTGTGGCTGGTTCAACCGCCGGGGGCACTATAGTGGGGTGTCTGACGTATGTAAACGTTCAATGGGTGCCAACGTCTGCCGTTGGATTAAGACCTAGCCAATGGCTTATTAAGTCTTACGTTTCCATGCAGACATCGGCACGTGGCAATGTAACGATTATCCTATCTTGATTTGAGTTAATTGCTATTCTTAGGGATTCTATAAGTCATTCAGCGGCTGAAGACGTTTCTTGTCCTTCCCTGCAACCCTGTTTCCAATTATACCACTGCAGTGCACACTGCACATGTCATGTGATTTATGGTTGCAAATCACTTGCAAATGACGCTCGGCAACCAGCGGAATATACTATGCATGACTGCCGTATTCAAATATGGCTACCGAATGCAATCTGCAATTAATCTTTACCGGAATACAGTTACAAGTGACATTTAGTTTTCTTACATTTATTATTGGAACACCCAATTATCATATATCTGGTAACTCGCCTTCAGTTACAGGCCCGGTAGTTATGTAAGGGTGAACTGACGCGGGCACTTGCCAAACCAGCAACCCTGAGACAATATCATTTTCCACCGGTGCAAACTGTATTAAATATGTCGTCTTTATAGGCTGGGATAAGATTGATATATGCTCTTAAAAAAAAGTTGTCAGCGCACATGTCGAGCTAAACATAGCGCGAGTTTCAGCTAATGGATGTCCTGTCGGCATTGCGATGAGCATACATAGATCAAGGCACCTGTCTGAACACAGATAAAAGCCATCGGATCGAATAATGCAGCAGTACTAGGGCATGCATACATAATGCAGCGGCATGTCGATCGTTCAATACGGCATGCTGATGCTCATTGGTTAATCAAGGGTGGCCTTCTTTGGCCTAATTACCACTCCTACTGCTCTCATGGTCATTAATCCTGTAAACGTGCAAAAACCACTGGCGAGTGCTCCCGGCGTCGGCACGGCAACGTAGCACAGCACTTTGAAAATATCGCTCCATGATTTTCGAAGCTTCTCAGGGCTACCGGAGGCGGAATTAGTTCAAAGTTACGCAGATATAATTTTATGTCATCACTTCCTCCATTTTACTTCGCTAGTTTCCGTCTTCGATGGGCTTTTGCCAAAGTCCTATAGGGCTATAAATAACACAAATGGCGCATAAGTCACATGGAGGTCGGCCTTCCGTTGGCAATTATTGGTTCCAGCGTACCATTCGTTATCCCCGCAATGTGCGGATCTTTTGCTGGGGGCCATGACGGCGATGGCGGTACAGATGCCGAGCTCAGTGCGGCGTCTGGACCTCACAACGCTCGTCTGTTTCCGTTGTCGCCGTCGGCGCTGCGTCTCGCTGATAGCTCCAGATGTGCCCTGCCGACGCGTTCGCTCTCAGCTCTGCGCCGTCGCGTCGCAGTGAGGACGGCCGCTGTCAGTGACAGCTCGGCCCCTGAGGGGCGTCTCCTGCCGTGGACCCTCCCAGCCCCGCCCTCCGTTCCGCCGCGCCGCCAGAGCGGCCGGCACGTGCGTGCGGGGAGGTCGGCCGACCGGCGGCGTTCTCACGGTCTGTGTTGGCGGTGCGTGCCGCAGCCATGCCCGGCACGCTGCCATTGATTCTGACCGCCTTCTTGACGCCGCCGACCGGATCCCGTCCATTGATCGCGCCACTGGACGTGGGAGCGGTCGGTCGGCCGGTGCCGCCCCGCCAGGTCAGACCGGGCCGCTGCACCGGGGTCAATGAGGACGTTCCAGGCGGACCCCGAACCCCTGACTTGCCGTGAGCCGTGGGCGATTGTTGACGGCCCCCGCCCCTGAACGGCCGGGGTGAGTGTTGACGCACCCCCAGCCGCGGCGGCAGCGGGGAGCGTGTGCAGGGAATTCGGTCACCGACCAGGTAACCGGGTGCGTGCGTGGTACGGTGCTGCTGTTGGGAGCTAGCTCTTCTGGGAGTCTGAGGGCTCCAACCAGCGCCACGTCTCGCCCGGACCAGCCAACTTGGCTGCACGGCCAATTTCAACTTGGTGAAGCCTGTGAGAACTTTTTGATTTCCTCTTGAGCGGCCTATTCATACGAAATTATTCAAAGGGGATAGTCGTGTGGATGGTGCGTCCCCATAAAATATTTTCTGACTGATGCTTACTGGCACTTATTGATGCGACCATCATATCCCCTTTGTCATATCAAAGAACATAAAGATGCTAGCGCTAGAGCCTTCTTGAATTCCAACTCCATTCGACACACTGCTTCAGTGAATGGCGGTCTATAATTCATTCGATAACAACGCTGAACGAAATTGTCCGGCACGCCAGCGATGTCTGTTCGCCGCGCCACTTTCCTTTCCAGCACGTTCTGTGTGAACAGTTATCTACACTCTCCAGCGAATTGCAGCTCTGTTACTGAATTAGCGGGCGGAGTAGCAGCGCTCTCTTAACGAACACATTCTTTTCTCGACTCTTTTGGGACGCTATCTAGCCATTCATTTAATTAGCTCAGTTCATTCTGCGCCGGTCCTGGCGGCTGCGCGTTGGTGTTCGGTGTGTGGCGGCTACACTGTGACCAGGGCTGGGAAAAATGCTGAATCTGCTACATACCAGATATTACGAGAAACTCTTTATTTGCTACATTGCCACAAATGTTCCTCACATCATTTCTGCTAGAGAAAATGATTTTACAAGTAATCAAAATTCTGGAGAGAGCTTTCCACTTTCATTTTCTATCTATTCTCAAATTGAGCTTTGAATGTTTTTATTTAGTTCAGTAGGCGGAACTATGGTCAAGCGTACCCATTTTCGGGAACGCATTTTCGTTCCCATGTTTGGGAACGATAAACCCAAATATGGGAACGCCATGTAGGAATTATTTAAAACAAGAAAAAGAACCGTTAAATGACGTCCAAAAAATATAAAACGATCGTGAACCGCCTGATATTTGTCTCAATATTGTTGGGAAAGAGTTTGATATTGTAAGGCCCATCGTAGTTTCAAATCGTTCCCCTATTTCTAAAGCAGTCCATCATCCGGGCCGCGAACCCAAATTTGGGAACGCTCTCGTACACTGGCGCTGCAAGCGTTCCTTATTATGGGAACGGCGTACCCAAAATTGGGAACGATTTCACCGACGCCTTTCAGGGGCTCTTTTCATTAACAAGCATCATGTCCAACGCCGCAAATTATTGTTAAGCAACAATCATCAGATGACGTTTCCGGCAAGACCGTCGCATGTTTCGCCCGGTCTTCTGCGCTTTTATTCCCGTCGATCTCGCAGCGGGCACGCCCCCCTCTGCAGGATTACGTAATTCACAACGCTCAGCGATGTTCAACAAGGTCTTCCATACCTATATCCACCGTCCGCGCCGAGGGTGGAGACATGTCAAGCACCTGTCTGTTTATCACCGATAGTTGACGAGCACAAGGAAGTATCCAAAAATGGGAACGCTGAATATGTTACACCCTCAAAACACCTAGTCCCATGGAAAATCTAGTTTTTTCCTTTCTTAATGAGTGTAATTGGCAAAAGGCCTGGTAGGATGGGCACGAGGAATGATCGAAATCAGCATAAAAATTATAAATAAGCCACACAGAGCGACCTATATAAGAGAAATTTCCCCAAAACGATCATGCTTAGAAACACGGAAGACAAAAACCACGCTCATGACGCTCCTTATAAAACAATGCTAAACAGCTAGCATCCAAATAAAATATGTCTTTCCGGGTTGATAAAATACAGCTGAATAATTTTAAACCACTGAAACTGAGTTTACAACAGTAGTTCGGTAAAATCACTGACGTTCCACGCGGTCGTGCGCCCCGAGACCAAAAGTCAACAATATTACCTCGGGACTGTCCGCGTGTTCGCTTGCATATGTCAGCATCTGGTGTCGCTAGTATGAAACTTCATAACCAGGCGAAAATTATTATACTTGACCTCAAAATGTAAAAAACGCTTCATTTTCCTTTAAATTGCATGTTAAATGTAGTATAACCCATGTTTTCACCATTCCGTCATTTCAAAAAAATCATTAAAAATATCATTCGACGGTCAATTTCCTTGTTCAACGGTCAGATTAAAGATAATTTTATAGAGACTCAGTAGATACTTAAATTAGCGTGCACTTTTTTGAGACGTGATGCACTAATGAGTTTTAGTGGGCGAACGGCCGAAAAATTACCTTCCGTTCCCGTAAATGGGAACGCCCGTTCCCATATTTGGGAACTCCGTTCCCAAAAATGGGAACGTTCCTATATTTGGGTACTCATGACCATAGTTCCACCTACTGAGTTGGCTGTACAAACAAAAACAGATACAGTGTCTTGCGTATGCCCCTGCGAATGTTCTTTTTCTTATTTTTTACTCTTTGTAGGTACTCACTACTCAGGTTTAGAAAAAGCATACAAATATCAAAATAAGGTGCTGTAGGGCTTTCTCAGGGCAAGTTCCAGCACCACCTGAGAGCACCAGAGAGCTCCAGTGAGCCCTAGAATTTTCCTATCAGCATTTCAGCAACTTCAGGATTCAGATGGTATCAGCCTACTCAGGCAGAAAGTATTTGAAAGAAATCAGGTTGATTTGGCTGCTCAGTCTGGTCCACAATTTACACTCATTGTGCATGCCGAACCCGCTGTACAAAAATTGCCAGTTGCCACCAAACAAGGTTTAGAGTTAATACAATAATTGAACATGTAAAGAAGTAAATAAGAAATTCTTTTCTGGGCGTTTCTTGATCAATATTTCAATCAGATCTCACCTTCTACGCAAATTCGATCATAGGTATCTCCCTATATCTTCACACATCTTGCTTTGCGTGCTGGGCGGCTACCTTGCTCTTTAACTGTGTACTGCACGCCGCTTTAGGGACAGTTGTCATTGCAACACTTGAAATTAGGCCTGGAATATCCCACTTTCCTAAAATAGCTGCAAAATAAAAGCTAAAATAGCTGAAATAATTCAAAAACACCCATAAACACTCATCAAACTCAACTGAACTATCCACGCGAAACGACAACTAGAATTGTCTCTAATGCGCCAGAATTTATTTATTTATTTATTTATTTATTTGACATCGTAGGCTCATTCCACAAAAATGGCTATTCCTGAACCAGGGTCGCAATATAAAATGATGGGTGTCGTGGGAAAAACATACGCACGCACGCACACAGACAGACATTCGTTCGCAGTCACTCTCTCACAAACGTGTCGTCATGAAGCATTGCTAACGGTCAGCCGCCTGTTGTCGCAACAAGTGCCGGCGCAACTCTGCCTTGAACGCGCGCAGGTTCAGGTCACACATCGCCGGTGGTAGGCTATTAAAAGCTGTCACGGCGGTAAAGAGGAATCGTCTCCTCCCGGACTCCGATTTGATTCTTGGCACATGTAGCATATCTATCTGTCTTGTGGCTCGCTGATGTACGTCACGTCTATGCACTATTCTACTCGCGATTGACTCGGGCTGCGCAGTGACCAGCATACGTTTCAATAGGGTCAGCACATGATATGAGTACATGTTACGCGCGGACAGCCATCCCAGGTCACGCAGGACGTCACTAACATGATCAAACTTCCGACGCCCCGATATCACACGGGCTGAGAAATTCAGCAGCTTTTGCAGACGTGCGAGCTGAGTGGTATTGCAGGAGCCGTACACACTGATACAATAGCGGATGAGCGAAATGACTAGACTTTGGACTAGGGTGGTGAGCGTCGAATGTGGTAAAATATGTCTAGAGTGACTCAATCCGATTAAAATACCTGTGCAGCGCCGGACGACATCATCGGTATGGGCGGCAAACGACATACATTGGTCAAATACGACACCCAGATTCCGCACCGCGGGAGAGCCGGGGACAATGGCGCCCATAAAGTTGATGCTGACTGTTGGAAGCTGCCGGAGATTTTGACGAGTGCCGAGAACAATGAGCTGAGTTTTCTGAGCGTTGATTTTCATACCATTTTTGCCAAACCAGTTCGAGAGCAGTGACAAATTTCGTTCCATGGATCCGATCAGGGCGCCAATGTCTCCGGGCCTCCCGCCCACGAGAACCTGAGTGTCGTCCGCGTACTGCACGATGCTCGCGTCATCAACGAATAGCGACATATCATTAGCATAGATGCTGTACAAGAGCGGTCCGAGCGATGTCCCCTGATAGGTGCCGATCGGGTTCGGCAGCGCCGCCGACAGAGTTCAAGAGCCAGAGTGGCTCTCAGCTACCACCTGCTGCTGGTGGTCGGCCAAATAACTCTCAAACCAGCGCGTGTCGACATTGTACAGTTCGAGTTTACGTAAAAGTCCGGCGTGCGGTACGACGTCAAAGCATTTGGACAGATCTAAAAGACACAAAAGTGTGATTTCCTTACGGTCCATAGCCTCAAACACTCGGTCTGTAACATCTAAAAGTGCGGTGTCGGTAGAATGGTTCGTCCTAAAACCGTGCTGACTAGACGAGAATAAATGATGACAGGTGAAATAGGTAAAAAGCTGCTCGTAAACGACGCGTTCAGTGATTTTGGCGATGGTGGGAAGGATTGATAGGGGGCGGAAGTTGGTTACGTCTGTGGATTTGGGTGATTTCTGGATGGGATGGATCAAGGCTAATTTCCATGAGCTAGGGACGCTGTGACTGGTGATGCTGGAATTGACGATGTGGGTGATGACGGGATAGATGGAGCCAAAACACTGTTTGATAAAACGCATACATAGTCCGTCAGCGCCACACGATGTACTGCTGGCCATCCTACCAACGATACACGACAGTTGTTCCGGTGTAACGGGTGCCACCTGGAAACGGCCGGTGGAAACGCGCGGCAGCCGCACCGCCAGCTCGGGCCCCGCGGAGTCCACCTGTCGGGCCGTGGCGGTCCCAATACTGGCGAAGTACTGGTTAACTGCGTCCGTGTCAGCGTCCGGTGAAGGTTTGGTCGTCCGCTTCCCCGCGATGACCGGCCGGACACTGCGCCACAAGGAGCTCGGCCCGCTCTCCCGCACGCGCCGGTCGATCTCCTCTCGCGTGTCACGGCGGACGGCCGACCTAACCTGCCTGCCGAACCTGCCTGCAGAAACAATGCATCAACAAAATACACAAACAGTAATGACGTAATTTGCATTTTTTGACAAGATTTCTTGATAAAACTTACAGAAAATGTTAATTAATTCCTTTAAACTCTAATTTGGTTCAAATAAGTATGATTTTAACAATAAAATACATTTAAAACTGAATAAAATTGTGTATGACGTCATCAAAAAGAATTAAAGACGTTGCAGGACACTGTATCATAAAAGATGGCTTTTTAGAGATGTCATGGGCAGAATGAGTTGATTCTTTTCGTATTTTTATTGATCATTGAACAATGCCCTTTTGAAAACAATTTGTTTTGTTTCGTAAATATGTCATTTGAATATTTTACAAATAATGAAACTCCTTTTAGCAATATTCATAAGAAAGATAGCGCATAAAAAGGCGTAGCAGATACCTTTTGTTACACGACTCAGAGTATGAAGAATTAGTGATGCTACAATGGAAACTGCTACAAAGAGCCGCCAGATTAGTCATAAAATGGAGCACAAAGCTGACGTTTTGAACTTGTGTTAGTCTTACAGATGTTTTGTTCTTATTCGCCGACGAGATCACTGGCTGGTGGTACCTCTATTTTAAAAAATGTGCGAATTTCGATGTTTTTATTGTATTTTTCTTTATGATGTACGAAAGAGAGAAATGTTGATTTTGCTACAATTGATGGACCAATAAAGCGATATCTGCTACCTACTGGGGTATGAAAGTATGAGAGATTTCCCAGCCCTGAGTCTGTGACTGCCTGGTGTATGGCGGCTGGCTGGGGCGGGGGCGGGGGCGGGGGCGGCCGCAGGTGGGTTGCCGCCGCCGCCGGGACGTGACCCGACTCCTGCTCCGCTCCGGCACTATATCGACGGTGGTGTGATGAGCTGTAGAGCGACCACAAACGGACGGACGCGGCAGCTGGCTACCGCGGCCCGCCGCCGAGAGGGGGTGGTGGCTGGGTCTTCAATTGCGATAGTGCGTAGGCTAATTGGATTGTTGTCAAGTTAATTGATCAAAATACGGGATTAGTAGTGGATCCAGCTGAAATTATTCGCTACGTGCTGGACTTGTTTTACACATTAATTCCCTCCTGTAGACGATTGCTGTTTATCGGGGTTAAGGGTCCCACGGTTCGGCGCTGCTCAGGTCGAGTGTACGGACAGGGTGGCGGCTTCGGCTCGTTAGTGCTGCCCCCTCCTCTCCTCTCCTCTCCTCTCCTCTCCTCGCCTCGCCTCTCCTCTCCTCTCCTCTCCTCTCCTCTCCTCTCCTCTCCTCTCCTCTCCTCTCCTCTCCCCCTCCCCTCCTCTCCTCTCCTCCCCTCTCCCCAGTCGCCGCCAGCACAGCTCTATCAGTCGAGCTGAGGCGCCGGCACTGGCGGTCGAAGTGCGCTCAGTACCGTGTCAGGAAAACGGCGAGAGTCGCAGCTGCCGGGCGGCGGCGGCGGTGGCGGCTGGTTACTCGGGTGGTCCTGTTACTGGTGTTGGTCCCGTTGGCTGTTCCGTGCGTAGTTTACCATACAGCACATACGCATTGCTCGAAGTTATTGAACGACCTGTAGGGGAAATGGCAAAAAAGGCAAAGAATAGCTTCTGCCGTTTGAAATCGCTCGCTGGAACTTTGGCTGTTTTTCCATCGGTCAATCATGTTTTTGATTTGTAGAAAAAAAAATCGTTTAAATATTTCGACTTCACTTCTCCGTATACAGTTCATAAAATATCGCATTCCCACTAGGTACTTACCTCGGTAATTTACCAGCGCTGACTATTTGTCTTGTGCCCCGCAGGAGATGTTTAACCCGCGCGTCGAGATGGGTAACATGAAGAAGCCGCCGCCCGAGGAGCGACTCATCTGACGTGCCACTCCCCTAGAGGCGGAGGACACCCCTCCACGGGCAGCCTCGCTGGAGGCACAGTAGCCATGGCAGCTTCCGAACGGGCTACCTCTCGGGTGGCGTCCGTTCAGCAGCTTCAGACTCGGGACGCGCCCGGCCAGCAGTCTCAAAGACAAGCGGCGTCAAAGACTGTATCGGTAGCGCCACTCTACAGCTGACAGTTGTCTGCGTTCGCTGGCGCCTGGGCCCGAACCTCCCCCTGAGAGGGGGCGCTCTGACCCGTGACGGCGGCCCCGTGACCCGACCTGGGTCAACCCGCGCCGGCCAGACAGGCTGCATTCCAGGTTGTCGTCCGTTGTGATAGTGACGTTTTCGAGTGAGTGATGGAGTGAGTGAGAGGGTGAGTTGTTGGGCAGGTGAGCGACACAGGGCCTTACCGCAGATAGTGTGTCGCTCGCGTCTGAACTGTACGGAGGGTAACCTCCGCCGACAAACATTTTATTTCCGGCGACCCTGCCGTGTGAGCGTTGTGACATTGTGACTGTGGGTGATCTTATTTGACCACATGTGACCTTATTTGATAGAGCGACGGCTGGGTGAGGCCAGCTCGGGGGCTCGGGAGAGGGGACCAACTGTTGGAATGTTCTGAGGACCAATGCGAGTGCCAGCGCTGTTTTTACTCTGGGTGGGTCGATCTGAGGGACTGAGGGGAAGGGACAGAGCCGACGAACCCTGTATGCATTCCAAGAGACTGTGTGTGCCAACGGTCCGTCCTTTTCATAATAGTGCTCGGTGCGTGCGGAGTAGGTCACCGGCTGGATTATGCGCGAAACGCGGTGAATTTAGGCGCTGCTCCACTTGTTTTGGCTGCTTTTGCGGCCGGCTGGAGGTAGAATCATGGTTTGGGCAGGGCACGGACGGCCTCCCGACGGGACAGCGATCCCGTGTGACCAGTATGGAGCCGCGGCCGGTCGGCGGGCGGCGCCGGCTGGCGGCCCGCCCCCTCATTTCCGTCCATTGCGTGTCAGTGTCAGTGTCAGCGGTGGCACCGTGACCCTCTCAGTGCCGGTATCTGTCCGACATACGCCTCTCACATTCCCACTGCGAGCGGCTCCCGTTTTATACCGACTGGCGAGCTACAATATATAAAACATGTACTGTGCGACGCGTGTTTCCGATGGAGGCTGTGAGTGTGCTGATGGTATCGATGAGTGGTAGGCAAGTTAGGTACATGTGACATTTCCATCCAAGACCAACTCTAAATGCATGAAACGTCATTGATGTGTTGCAGCTAACAACGGCTTCTTCATCGAGGATGATAATATGCTAAAAAGCCTGTGAGGCATGTTATCCAAAACAATCTGTTGTTTATATTTATATTTTATTATATTTAGAATATTTTCTGATAAAAGCGTATTCCGGAAACGTCACATCCAATGTCTTTGGGGCATGCATTTTGCGCAAGATTTTAGGATACGATGAAGGCGTAGCCGGATCTTCAAGTTCGCCCCGGGACAAGATCACTTTAATCTCAACCAATATGACATTAAATGACAGCAATCCATTTTCCGATTTCATACCGTGTACGCACACCCATTTTCAGTCTACTCACTTACGGGCGATTCTATTCTCCTTACGAAGCGATAGAATGTGCAGATGAACTGCGCAATTTTGCCTTGCTCGTCCCACCACCCTTGATATCCGTTCCATCGACATTTTGTCGACGTCGGCCGCGTATCCGCTCGTTCAGCGATGTCATCTCTGTCACTGACATTCGCGCCTTCTCACCCGATCTCGGCGGCGAGATCTGGTTTTTCCCGCTCCCCCTCGCCTCCCTCCCTCCACCGTGCCTCTCGGTCTGCCGGGGTGGGGCGGGTGTGTCGCGGCCGCCGCGGTGCGGTCGGCCTAATACGCCTCCTCTGTCGCCCGACACCGGCCCAGTCCCCGGAGGGCGGCGACAATAGGGGCCGGGTGGCGCCACGCCGAAATGCGCCGACAGGAAGCGACCGGCGCGCTCCCATAGAGCGACCTAAACAGAGGACAATGCCGCGGACGGCCGAGAGATAACCGGGCCGGCCGAGAACGCACCCCAAAAGGAAGACAGTGTTTATAGTCGAGTGTGCAGCGAATCCAGGAACGGAGCGAAAAAGATAGGACGATAGGGCTGTCGGGTGAAACGGAAAGTAATTAGCTCGAGATTGCAGTCCACTTACTTTAAGAGGCTGTGCAATTAATTTAATTATCCATGTCTTCATGTTGGCCTGGTCATTTCCGCTACACGGGTTTATAACTGCGGGTCGGCTGTCCTCGTTAAAGGCAACTGCAGCCGCAGCGGCCGCCGCCCGAGGGCTACTGCATGAATCATGTTAATCGTACGGTCACTGAGCACGGATCTGGGTGCTGCCCCGAGCCCGCCGCAATCTACCGAACATCAGAGCAGGCGCGCAGGGAATTGCTACGGATGCCTGCGCGGTCGATACTCTGACGTGGCATCAGTTATCGCTCACCTATACTTCAGCTGAGCTACACATCGTCACAGCGATGGTGCAACGCGATATTATGCGTGTGACGCTTTGTGCGCTCGCCGTCCGCGGCCTGGTTCTATGTTCATTGAGTGGGGACCTTTTGTCCTTCAGTCGTGTTGCGGAGTCACGCAAACACACAGTCGCCGCCCCGGCACGGTTGCATGCGTGACATGCCTCGCGCGGTGCCTGCTTACACCGAGCATGCCTGCGTGTGACCACATCGGCCGTCACACACAGGTAGGTATCCGACACGCCTGCGCCCGACCTGTCACATCTGTCACGGACGTCAGACATCCGTCACCGGTGGCGGGTGGCGGGTCACGCCAGTCTGATAGAGGCCGTACGAACGCCGCCGCCCCACCCGGCCCGCGGCACGGCACATACCTCTGACCCAGTGACTGGCTGCGGCCTACCGGCGACAGAGCGCGTGCGGGCATTAATATCGACCGCACCTGGCCGTCCCGGTATTGCCAGAGATTGGGATCTGAAATAGAACTCGCCGCATAAACCAGACGGAACCGGATTTGACCAGATCAGTTCGACGAAAGCCGGGCGAAATCTGATCGTCTGACACCAGATGAAATGCTGAAATGAATTACTTCTTATTGAATGTTGGATTTGGCTGACCCGGTCGCCCGGCCCTGGCAGTGTGGTGACTGGTGATGCAATGCTAAGCAGCAAATCATTTCAGCTATTTGACATTGATGGCAACTGATTGTTGTCATAAGAAAAGTAAATATCCAGTGCTGCATGCAGCTATAGACAGCACGTCATTTTTGCGCCATTGCATTGTGCCATTGATTCATCAGTCAATACCTCACCAGCGCAGACACAATGGCACTCCGGGGATGGAGAATGGAGCTACGGATGGCGGCAGTGCCGTATATAAATAACACCGGATGACAGCGCTCTGGTGATATGTAACGTATAGCGCCAGCGGCGGCAAGGAGAGGCGGCGTATGTACCTATATGTGAACTGAAGATGATAAAGTCTGTGCCGTATGCGGGGCATGGTGACGTCAATGTGCAAACAAGGCAACATTGTTCTCACCAGCTCAGTTTGTGACAAACATGCCATCATCGCTGTGCGTGGCGTTATAATGACAGGCAATCTATTAAGCGACGTCTGTGGTGTCGAAATTGACATAAGTTGAAAGTAAACCACACACATAGTAAGTGCAGGTACCTACCACTTACCAGACATCACTTCAGCTGTATGTGTATCTTTTAGGGGAAAATTATCGCCGATGCCAGGTTGCTGACCAGGTAGAGGTAGACGTAGAGGCAGGGAGCTCAGCCTGAGTAGGTTAGGTAGTGAAAAGACCAGATTACAGTGGGAAGAAGATAGCCGGAGCGTCGGATACAGCAGCGGGTCGGAGTGAGGGGCAGAAAAAGAGGCAGCGGGAGGGAGCGCGCTAGAGTAGCGAACAGAGCGGGCAGCGGTGTGGAAGAGAGCCGGGCGCCGTGAGGAGTGGACGCAGCTAGAAGCAGAGAGCCGGAGTGCTGGACAGAGTGGTCGGCACCGGGAGGAGAAGCCGGCCGCGGCACCGGGAGGAGGCGGCCGCGGCACCGGCGGCCGGTAAATGGTGATTGGCTGTCTGCCGGTCGGCAGGAGGCGCTGATGGACGATATACGGTGAGCCGGTGGCGACTGGCGAGCGACGCGTGCCGGGTGAGCCCGATCGGACCGCGCGTATAGCCGCACCGGATCGTACCCGTGTATGCTGTATATGTACCGCCGCGTACATACCCGTGTACAGCCGCTGTGTGCCCGATCGGACCGCGCGTATAGCCGCACCGGATCGTACCCATGCACTGCACATTGCACAGCCTCCGCGTGGAAAGATTCGGCCCCGTCTTTGGCCACTCTATAAATGAGTAGATCAAACTGTTCCTATCGGAGGCTAACTGAGTGGATCGGGCCCATGTGCTGATGACACAGGATAATTTGAAGCTTCTAACCAGGCGCTGGGTAAATTATTATTTCTTGCCTTTTAGTAGGTATCATAGAAACAAATATATGTGTATGTGGCTAAATTATGCGAATTCAGGCCACGGCTTGGGCTCAGATGAGATTGCGTCGTGGCTAAACATGAATAGTTAATATTGTTATGCCTTTTGTTGACCACCGCCTAAACATTACACGCGTTTCGCGTCCCGACCTTTTTGTGCTGAGTAATTTCGGCGTTTGCATTATATATACCCGCCTCTTCTAGCTTGTATAGCTACTTCTTTAGCGTTTTTATTCACACGGTGACATTTTCCATCGCGGCGGCAGAATGCAGGAGCTCAGAGCGGCGGCGTTTACACAGGCCAATTTGGCTACATGTCTCACTTGAATGATAGCTGTGCCGCAGTGCCCCTGCTGTCCTGCGGGATAGTATACCCAGCGCGGCGAGTTCACAGAGCGGCAGGCCGGGCCGAGCAATCAACTTGCTGCCATCG